AGATCTGGGGTTTCGAACATTCCGACACGCGCATGTGATTGGACAGAAAGTGAGGCTTCGTTTTTCGAAGCGAAACTCAATAGAACGCTCCATAGCAACAGTTGCGCCCATGACGTGACTGTGCCGCCGCCATTTTGGACTGAAAACTACACAAAAACTCCGTAGAATAGGAGCCAGTCGCGCTTGACCAACTTACAATAACACATTTAAAATATATATTTATAACAATATATATAACAATAACATATAAATATATATATATATATACTTTAAATATATATGTATACTCTTTGACAGAGCTTCGTGAGGAATTGCGCTGCTTACTCGATACGCGCTTTGAAGCTTCAGTGATAGGTAACATCACTAGTACTTTACATCCCTAAATTCCACAGAACAGCTCCTTCTTGAGATCGGAAACATAAGCGTGACTGCATTAGAGCGGAAGTGTTGCTGGCACTGTGCTTTCTGCATCGTAGGGAGGCGTTCAAGTTCATTTCTAGTTCACGGTACATTCTGTTCCACAAAAACAGACACGTGTGTGGGGGACTGGTTAGAGCGCAATAACAACAACAACGTGACCCATCTCGTATTGACAGCGTTGTTAGAAACGAGATGATTTATTACACGAGTTAACATGTCGTATGTTGTTTACATGCGTCGTCTTTCAAATAGTACAACAACAAAAAAACACCTGGATTTCATTATCCTGCGATAATGAAATCTCATTCCCATGACTGGCAACACTTACCAAGAAAAGTAAGGCTTTTCCTAGGCTGTCAAGAGCGTACCATCAAGTGTTGTTAATAATAATAGCAATAAACAAGTTTTATGGTACGAAATGTGTAGAAACATCAGATATATGAAATGCTCAATATTTAGATGTTTACAGAGTATTCTGCTTAAGTGTGTGTTAATAGGATTGTTGATAGTCTCGTGTTGTTCTCTGTACTGTAGCAAAATGTGGCTACGCTTTTTGGCATCATGCCTATGGATAAACTCTTGAAATGGGGTCGCAAGTGTTGTTCCCATATTTTCCTAGAACTGTCTCTCAGTGTGAACCTCCGTGAGTCCGGAGATTACTCCGAAAAGAGTCGTGTAACGTTTGCTCTCATTGGCTAATTTCGCCTTCTCCAACGGCCCTTCGCAAGGGCCCGCCTCAAAACTTCTATAAGCCATGCATGGGCAGCACAACCTCTGCTTGCACGCTTTATTGAAAGAAAGGATTTGAAACGTGTTGCTCTCGTGTGTTAGCCATCAATTGCTCAATGCTTCTGTGCGACCAGCTTCCCCTGAAAGCTGAGATAAAAGAATGCATTTCAGGTCGACGGCAGATAGGGGTCCCTTTTCGAGGAAATGGATATTACTGTTTCCATTTAAAGTGGTCGTGACCTTGTGAGGCAGAGTTCAATCATTTGAACACAGTTATAT